AGTTTTGAATACTCCCAGGATGGAAATTACACAACCTAGTATCCAGTGTGAATTTTCCATGTTGCAACCTCCAACCTTTGCTTTTCACCTAAAAGGAGCCTGGCTCCATCTTTGTACTCTCCCCTTAAATAGGTGACAACAGTATTAATCTGCCTTAATCACAGCCTTCTCTTCTTAAGACTGAAGAATACATTTCTCCTGGCTTCTCCTTGTATATCAGGTGCTCCAGGCCCTGGCCATCCTCCATTTAACTCACTTCAGTATGTCCCATTTTACTTGTACCAGTGAGCTCAAAGTCTGACATACTCAATAAAGGTACCACAAACTAATCAGACAAGGACAAACTCACTTCATCTCTTTACAGCTCACCTCCCTGCAGAGCAGTAGAACTTAAAACACAGTTAGCTAACTTTACTCACAAAATCCTCTCTCCCAGGACCTAGACCTAGGACCAAAAAGGGCATCTAAGTTAACTATTAGAACCAAGAATTCAGTCTAGACTGCAGGAACAAAGCAGTAACAGAATGAAAAATAAATGCTCTGACTTCTACATATTACATACACAGAATTCCATTCATAATCCTATATATAACGAATTTTTGCTGCACAGCCATAAGCACAGTCTTCATAAAGTGAAGAAGAATGCTAATGCTAAATATTCACTGAATATTTAGCCCATGTACCAGAGGCAAAGAGCCACAAATGATGCTCAAACACGTTTCCCTCGCTTGCTTCAGGTAAAAGATCTGATGTCTATACTTTTGTTGTCAAAGTTCCTGTAAAGCAGTGTATTCATCTTACAAGCAATCAGGAAAAATGCTAAATGGAGGAAAAGTAATACTGACAATCCACCCTTAAGTTGGATTCATGAGCCTTCAGAAACTATTAATGGTTAAGAGTAAGATGGGGGATAAGCTGTCCAATAACTTCTTATAGACTATTGTAACTTATAGTGTAGGTTACCAAACCCTATGGCTAATGAATAAAGAAAAAAAAAAAGATTTAAAGTATCATGAATAAAATAACAGCCAAACAGCATTATGGGCCCATGACTAAGACTGATTTGTACATGATACAATAAGCCCTTTAGAAATAAGGAAATATTTATTCAGTCAACTCAGGCAGCACTTCTTAAGTCTGTTAGCAACTTAGGAAGAGATTAAACAACACTCACTAAAGAATTCAGCCTTATAAAAATCAGTAGTTAGAAAACATGCAATCACGTTTCAAAAAAAAAGTTAAATTCCATTACCAGACCGAAAAAACTCCACCACATTTAACATCACTAAAAAGACAGCAAGTACAACTGAAAAAGATTTACTTCATGGATACAATATATTCTGGCTTGACACAACGTGGTATTGTTACAATAGCACTATAGATCAATAAGATACAAATGATATGGTCAAGGACTACCTGCCTACCTGAGAAATAAAGTAGCAGCACTAAAAGATAAAAAGAAACTGCAAAGACCAATTCCAGACACAATACTTTTATTATCCTTTAGAATTACACTGATAGCCCATCTCAAGATAAAACCACCCTTTGTTGCCTCTCCATTACTACAGAAATAAATTATGACAAATTTGAGATGATCAGACCTTAACAACCTCTTACTACTTTATCTTCAAAATAAGACCAGTTACGTTTTCACACATTTTTCTACAAACTCAAAATAAGCAGATTTACAGCTGATTTCAAGCAATTAATCTATGAAAAGAGGACACCCCCCCCCTCCAAATTTACTGATGTAAAAGTATTTCGCCTGGGAAAAGGATTTCACCTGGGAAATTACTAATAAAGAGCTTTGCTCTCTGCTCTTGCTTTTATTTGAAAAGGATGAGAACATGAAACATTGAAATAAGACAAGTGCCACTCTAGAAACAATTAAGTGAAATATTTCCACATCTGATCCATGAGAAACACCTGATCACTCAATCAAGTACTTGCTTTCAATTTAATTTCAGCACTATGTTTTCTTGCTGCTTTTTACAGGGGATTGTAATATATGCATCTGTTCTTTTGTATGGAATACCCTGAATTCTCAACGTATACCTAGTCACCTCATCTCCATGAGGTACTAGCACAGAGCAAAGTATTTCTTCTAGAAAACCTGACTGCTAGGAGGAAGCAGCAGTTAAAACTACACGTCACACATGAAGGTGAAAAGAAACCTTTTTTTTTTTTTTTTTTTTTAATTCACTGAGAATGAATCTTACTGGTCAGCTCAAAGAAGAAAATACCAACACAGTCTAAATTACAACAGGGAAGATGTACACAAAACAATTAAATATAAATGTTATGGGTTCCATCTTAGCTAGCCAAAGCCTCGTTTTCAGTTATCTGTTAGCAGAGAAACAACCACGTCTGCAAAAGGTTTCAGGAAATAGATGACAAGAGACAAAACCCTGGCTTTCTTGTTTTAAGACAAAAAGCTTAAAAAAATTATGAAGCATGGCCAACTAGATTAAAATGAACCTAAAGAGGACATGGCTACAAGAACAGAAGACAGAATTCCTCACAGGAGATCATTTACCATCACATGTTAAAAACCAGAAGTGTTACACTAGGTTGTCACAGTTTATCCCAGCTATCAACTCAGCCCCACACAGCCACTCGCTCACTCCCTCCTGACGAGATGAAGGAGAGAATCAGAAGGATAAAAGTGAGAAAACTCACAGGTTGAGATAAACACAGTTTAACAGGTAAAGCAAGAGCCATGCGCGTAAGCAAAGCAAAACCAGTAATTCATTCACCGCTTCCCACAGGCAGGCAGGTGTTCAGCCATCTCCGAGGAAAGCCAGGCTCCGTCAGGCATTAACCGTTACTTGGGAAGACAAACGGCATCACTGTGAACATCCCCTCCACCTCCCTTCCTCCTTCTTCCCCTGGTTTTATATACTGGGCATGACACCACATAGTATGGGCTATCCCTTTGGTCAGCTGGGGTCAGCTGTCCCAGCTGTGTCCCCTCCCAACTCCATGTGCTCTTCCAGGCCACTCGGTGGGGTGAGGTGGGAGGCAGAACGGCCTTGACACTGTGTAAGCACCTCTCAACGATAACAAAAACACTGCTGTATTATCAACACTGTTTCCAGCACAAATCCAAAACACAGTCCCAGACCAGCTACTCTGAAGAGAACTAACTTTATCCCAGACATAGCCAGGCTCTATGCATTAGTTAAATTTTAAAAAAACCCAATCCAACACTACTATTTCACAAAATACGGTGAACTAGCAACCTACTAAAGATGTATAACAGGAAACCTTCATTATAGGTACATTATAATCATCAATATATGTATTGTATAAAAACTACAGCAGACAGTAAGAATTTTTAGATCTAGCTGTCTAGCTGAGCAGTGAGTTCTTACATTTCTTGCATATATGTTTTGAAAATAACTAGTTTTCCTCTAATTTTCCTTGGTTTCGAGATAGCATGAGAAATTCAATACCTGTGGCATGTATTTGACATAATTTTTATTGTTTTTACATATAAACACTGGAGCATAAAATCAACTTCTGAGATATATGTATGTCTGTGACTGTCCCACCCTCATAAAATATTAAATATATCATGAAATAAAAATGTGTTACACTGACAGTAATTCCACTGTGTTTTCACCTACCATGTGATTGCACTTACCTTGGAATTCAGCTGTATAGATGGAGGTATTTACAAGAAATGTCTGAGACAGAAACAAATTGCAGAGCTTCCCTTTCTTAAGTGTCCTTTGCAAAATGCAGGCCTATTATTGATCAGCAAGCTCTGTACATCAAAAACACTCCTCACCCACCAATAATTAAAAAGGTAACACAAGAAATGCTGAACTGTTTTAAAATACTACCAATTAATAGCTATTTAAATAATTAAATATCACTAGAAATCACCCAATGTCTCTTAAAACCTGAAGACAAAAGGTGCCAAAAGATATTTTAACATCAATCTTCAATAGGAAGCTCTTTTTTTGCCATACCTTAGCACAGTGTGAATATTACATAAAGCCTCAATAAATTTTATAGCTTACAGTAAAATAGAGTGAGTCTTTCTAAAACTTTTTTTATCTCCCTTCCACTTGAAATATATTTTCATAAATATAAAAGCTTTGGGATAAAGTATTACTGAGCATTTACAATAACTTCTACAATTCTTTTGAGACACAGAGAAAGATAACCATGAAAACTAAAATACAGAAAGATAATTGATTTGAATAACAGACAGTGAGGGAAACAATATAGTTGGAGAGCCTCTTCTCTACATATACACATAATTCAATATATTAACATGCACTACTGAAATATTTTAAATTTTTTTTTCAAATAAATAAGACATCAATTCATATTTGAACAATAGGCGTAGAAAACTACAGAAAGATAGGACAAGAGGGCACGGGCTTAAGCTCTGCCAGCGGAGGTTTAGGTTGGATATTAGAAAGAAGTTCTTTACAGAACGAGTGATCAGGCATTGGAATGGCCTGCCCAGAGAGGTGGTGGATTCACCGTCCCTGGAGGTTTTTAAGATGAGGCTGGATGTGGCCCTGAGTGCCATGACCTAGTAATCATAGTGGGGTTGGATCAAGGGTTGGACTTGATGATCTCAGAGGTCTCTTCCAACCCAGTTAATTCTATGATCCTATGATACTTCATTATACACCTGGATTTTCAACTTTGATGATATTCAAACTTTAATAAGGAAGTAATTTTTAGGGTCTATTCAAAAATTGTTTACAATTTTAAAAAATTATTCTGACTTTGGATTTTGCAAAATTCTGATGACTATGACACCAACTTAGTAACAGATAACCATCAAAATTCTCTTAGATATGTTCTCATGTTCTTGACAAAAATCTCCTTGTCAACATTTACTCATTCAGTGTATAAGGAAATCAAATGTAGTTAGACCTGAAGATAGGTTATTTCAGCTAGCAGGTTAGTAATAATGCTTATCTGTATAAAATCCTACAAGCTTGAAAATAATACAAACTGTTGCATTGGACTACTTCAACAACACTGAACACAAATATATTTTATTAATACAGCAAGCTGTTCAAAACCAAGCAAAAGCAGACACTTACAAATTCATCATTTTTAAGAGAAAAAGGGCAGTAAATTAGTCACTCTCCACACTGGCTCATTCTTTGTTATGTGCTAAACAGATTACAATCACTGTGCCAAAATTAGGAACGCAAGATGGTTTTACAGTTATATCCAGTATTTATATTGAATTAATGCATCCCAACTGGTCTGGGGTTTGACAACCTAATGCTTTTATATTTCATTTTTATCACAAATGAAACAAATCAACTTAGTTAGAAAGACACAGCTGTGAAATTTTGGGGTTTAGCGATAAAACTAAGGTTTTATTTTTCTTTTTAGTCAGCACAAAAAAAAAGAAAACGGTAGTGTGCAGCTACCATCATAGTTATATACTACCAACAATAACAAATAAAAAAATAATTCAGGTTGCATAGTTTAAGGTTGGTGAATACTGTACTGGCAGAACATTGCTGCAGTTACCACAGGAGCTTCTCCGACCACAAAAAAAAAAAAAAAAAAAAAAAAAAAAAAAAAAAAAGAAAAAAAAGAAAAAAAAGAAAAAAAACCACCAACCCAAAAAATCAAACCTCTGAAACCAGAAAATCCATGCCTAAGTTTTTCCAGTTGGCAATATATGTCAAACAGAACTAAAGGACAATCCAGCACATACCTGTTTTCAAAAAAATCTCCAAAAAAGTAAGGAGACTAAACGACAATCATTAAAATGGATTATTACATCAATAACCTCTTCTTCCAAGGCTTTAATTATCTTTTACAAGACCTCTAATATGATCCCTTCTTTAAAAAAAACTGCTCAACAGTTACCTGATATATGACAACATCGTCTTAGATTTATGAAGACTCTGCTATATGTCATACTGTATATTAAAATTTTTACTAAAATCAAAGGTCTTACAACTTGAATAAATATATTTTAAAAAACATTAAATGTACAATTCTATTTACATGCAAGTCCGTTAAAAAGAACAACCTCCAGAAGAAAATGGTCTTGAAATAGGCCTATTTAAAACACAGAAGATCCACTACTTTATTGGAAGTGATGATGTGTTTTAAAAGGGCAAGGAACAGATGCTTATTAACTGACTGAAACTGTGTTATTGGCTACTGGAAAACACTGAAATAATTCCACGAGTCTGTATTGTCTCCCCACCTATGTCTTCGCTGCAGAGGTGGTCTTTGAGTGTTTTTGTGGGGAGGTACCACTGAATTCATGACAATAGGTATAGATATTTGATATTCGTATCGTTCCAACATCTGAGCAATCTTCTCACGAGTGACCCCATGTTTATTCCTCCTATAAAAATAAAAATTTAAATTAATTGTCTGGTATTTTTACAGTTAGATATACAGTATAAATATAGTTATACATGTTTGTAGCTATATGTTTACAGTCTTTAAGAAAAAACCTCTAAATTCTTAATATTTTTCTTCTTGCTTTTCATATTTATACTTTTATTATACTGTAACCTCATTCTCTAGGTATTCAACTTGTGTTAAGGTTTAACAATTTTCCACTGCATATACTAAGTAACAGTAAACAATACCCTAATTCTTTTTCATACAGAAATGTGATGTTATACAACTGTAACTACACAATATATAGTTATACAACTATGTATATAAGGTACCCAGAAGCACTTTGCTTTCTATTCATTCATCAGATTTTACATGGTATACTAGCTAATGAGTAAAGGGATGAATAATATCATAGACTAATCCTTATGAGAGCAGTGTTCAAACTAGCATAAAAAATATGCAACTACGTGGTTTCTAGACTTAATGATAGAATATTTTCTCATCAATACATGAGAATATTTTCTCATCAAGAAACCTTGTCCAATCTGAATTATTTCCACATTAAAACCAACAGGGAATGTATTTCTGCATCTTTGTGCTCTCAGCCAGGGACAGAAGAAGCATGGGCCTTACCACATTGCTCAGTTGTGTAGAGGGGAAATCAATACTGGGAACAAACAGGTTATATTGGAAAGAGGATACTCCATACAGAAGTATTTTGAAAGACTGACTTCCTCACCACCCAGCCCCTCCGTGAGTTTGTGTGTATTATTACAACAAAGAAGTAAGTATCAAGTTGATGAGGTTTCAAAGAATACTGCAGGCTTCTTAAGGTGCATTTTATCAGCTTTCTTTCTGTGAAGAAAATGCTTAAGTAGAATATTTCTCTCACAGAAGCTCTTCCCTGAGACAACATCAGAAGCTAGACTGACAATCATTTGTGGCTTTTTGTTTACATGCTTCTAATTTCTACACTGTGCTAAAGCGGTCCAGGAGCAGTTGCATGTTGAACTTATCAGTTCAAGCCTTAACAGTTTTGATTTTATTCACAAATATGAAATAGGTTAGTGGTAGAGAAAAAACCCAATCCCCTAGAAAAACGTGGATACTATAAAGCACTTTACACTCATGACAGACAAAATATGAGAAGAGGAACTCTTAAGTCCTTTTATGCCAAGTGGTGGAAGCAGAAAGTTACTCAATATTTTCCCTATCTTTTAATACTCCTAGGAGAAAATTACAGCTCAAGTGCTCTGGGAATAGAGTGCACACTCATCCACAATTGAATGGATTTGTGTATAATTACATCATAGATGAGTAAGTACTTTTCCTCATAAGGAAAGGCAGGACAATAAAAGAAAGGCCTAATAAAGAATAAGGTAGGATAACAGAATCATGAACAGCAAAATTGCATTAAGCATAGAAACTAATTGAAAAAAGGAAATAAATTTGCTGTATAGTGTCATTTAATACTGTGATCTCCTCTTCAGGCACATCTTCACTCATCCTTTTGCAGCTTGGCTATGCTGAAAGAGCACAAAGCCATCTATCCTGAACCAACACAGACATACCTGCAAAAGCTCCTAATAGATAGTTATAATATGGAAGTTGGTTTTGATTAGAGCAGCACAAAACCTATTGATAAAAGCAAAGTTCTGTCACTATGAAATGTTTCTACACTACCCTCAGCAAGTCTGCTTATGATACAAAACTGGAAGGAGCCCTCTCCTGAAGCAATTAAAAAACAAAACGAAAATTTACATCACCACCTTTCTTAAACTCACAAAAATAAAGTTTCCAGACACTGGTCATCTATTCAAATATTTATTGCAAGTAGAACTGCTAAAACATTTCTAGGAACCTTCTAAAAACTGGTAACTGCACTTCACAGTTCAAGTAATTCTTTGGTTTTGTGAAAGACATAAACTTTACTCCTACAACTAATGACTAAACAATACAATTCAACAGTAACTACACATCTGTTTATCCTTTTGCCTGTTAAGACCACATGGAAACATGAATTTTCCTGGAAACTGAGCCTGTCTCACATAATGGAAATTTCATGCTGAATTATCTTACAAAGTGTCTGATTATTAACCCTCCTAACTTGGTTGTGCTGTACCCCAAACCAGAAAAACTTACTAGAATTCATTTCATCTGTAAAAAAAAAAGCTAGGGGTAGCTTAGGAGCAGAAGGTGAAAACTTTAAAAGATTTGTAAACATGATAAAGTCCAAGTCAGTCCGTAAGGTAAGCACTGTACAACATACTTTGTGCAGTGTAGGGGCTACTTACAAAGCTGAAACAACTCTAAGCAGTCAGATGGGCACATATAAAATGACAATCAGTGAGAGAACTCATGTCATAAACTGTGAAAATATTACACTACATTTCAAAGAAATATCCCTAAGTTAGACTGATACCTCATAGATTTCTAAAGCAGATCCATGTTATTAACTAGGAATAACAACTAGTTTCCTAAGCAGTCTCACAACCCAGTAGTTCAACGACCTATGTCCAACAGCACTCTAAGTCAGATCCTCTGAACACTAGGAACAATTCCACAAAAGCTTGCAATAGAATAATATAAAATATGAGCTCTCTTTTTAACTTTTAGTAATTAGTAATAAACTGTTGTCCTTTAACACTGAGACACCTGTAAAAGTAGACAAACCTAAGTACTATACTGATGCACTCATTGCCAAATGTGGAATTTCTTTTTGTCTCTTACTTATTTCTTGCCATCAGCATTCTGTAGCAACAAATTTACCAGAATAATTATTCATTATAATATCAGTGATTCTTACAGGGGTCATTCATTTTTCTACACATGTCCAATAAAATTTTAATACTGATTTTTCGGGCCAACAAGACAGGGCCAGTATTTATTTGTCTGCTTGTTTATCCATAAAACTTCCATTTAAAGGTATATCTCAAAATGCCTATTTAATAAAATACATTTCATACTACTAGTAGTTAATAATACATTGAATAAAATATAACTTACTGTATATATATTTATGCATGCACATTTATCTGCCTATCTCCATATATAAAGTACCATGATTTTTGTAAGAGAAACCTTACTTTTCTAATTCTTCAGGATCAAACTTCCACCAAGTATCTGGTTCATGGAATTCCACTCTGTAACCTTTCTCTAGAGCCTGCAGCAAATGAAGAAACATGTGTGATATGTATATCTTTATTACATAAAACGTAAGAAAAAATTAATAGACAAGTATAATAAACAGATGTAGCTAACTCTGCAGTGGTAGCATGCTCAGTTTCACTTACCCCCAACCCACCTTAGCTTTTGTTCCAGGCTAAGTAAATTAGATCAAGTCAATCCTTAAACTGATCCAAACCATTGCCATACCAATTAGTAATTGTTATCAATAAGTAGTCTCTCTCTTTAGAAATCTGAGCAAGGAAAATGTTTCTGGACAAAACACACCAACTTATCACATGTGAAGCTAAGTTTGGAAAATTGTAATGAATGACATAATCATGCAACAAAACTTACCACTTCCACGTACGGTTTCATTTCCCAGGCTTGAGTATTAGTGTTGTCTATTATAACTGGAGATCTTCCCTGCTCCATTGCTTGCTTTGCTGCAATGAAAAATAGTGCAAATTAATAAACCACTACATCTAAAGATCTAAACTACTCCAGATGTTTTTTTCACTAACCTACTCTGACACACACTGTTCTAAGAGAAGGAATAAAAGGTACAGACAGGAATGACAAGTAGAAGCAAGAACCTGAAGGACAGGATGCTATCCAGAGGACAAGCTCAAGAAGCGGGCCCATGGGAATCTCATGTGATTTCACAAGACCAAGTGCAAGGTGCTGCACCTGGGTCAGGGCAAGCCCTAATATCAATACAGGCTCAGGGATGAAGGGATTGAGAGCAACCCTGCTGAGAAACACTTGGGGGTGCTGGTGGATGAGAGGCTGGATGTGAGCCAGCAACGAGTATTTGCAGCCCAGGAAGCCAATTGTATCCAGGGCTGCATGAAAAGAAGCATGGTCAGCAGGCCAAGGGAGGTGATTCTGCTCCTTTACTCCGCTCTGCTGAGACCTCACCTTGGTGACTGCATCCAGCTCTGGGATCCCCAGCACAGGACATCAACCTGTGGGAGCAAGTACAGAGCAGGGCCACAAGGACAATGTGAGGCATGGAGCAACCTCTCCTATGAGGAAAGGCTGAGAGAATTGGGATTGTTCAGCCCAGAAAAGAGAAGGCTTCAGGGTGACCTAACTGTGACCTTCCAGTACCTGAAGGGAGCATACAAGAGAGGTATAGAGGGACTTTTTACAAGAGCATGTACTGACAGGACAAGGGGGAATGGCTTCAAACTAAAAGAGAGTAAGTTTAGATGAGGTATTAGGAAAAAAATCTTTATTGTGAGAGTTGTGAGGCACTGGAACAGTTGCCCAGAGAAGCTGTGGATGCCCCATCCTTGGAAGTCTTTAAGACCAGCTTGGATGAAGCAACCAGACCTAGTGAAAGGTATCCCATAGCAGAGGAGTTGGAACTAGATAGTCTTAAAGGTCCTTTCCAATCCATGCCATTCTATGATTCTATGGTCTATCAAGTCAACAATGCTAAAAACATATCAAAAGCAGCTGGAATTTCAGTAGAAGTGGCAGGACGAACTGAAATAGAAGAAACTTCACAAAGCCACAAAAGTGAACCTGAAGGGCCTAAAACCCTAACTGATGCTAATTTCAGAATTAAAGTTGCAGTGGCAAATTAATTCCAGTATTTCCTAGTATTTGTGCACTTGCCCTTACAATGATTATATTAAATGCATATGTGTTTTAGTATCAAAATATGTATTTCACTGTCTTGTAAACATTTGAGAGTTTGAAACTCTGTTCATCTAAAAGAAATCAATTTTTTTTTCCTAAAGGGTCTCACTGGTAACTATTTTTTTTCCTCATACTTCTGCTTGAGACACTGCAGCACAGAGCAATCTGCATGGACTTGTTAAGTTTATACTCCTTGGAGAAGACCAGACAACGAGATTCTTAGAAAACTGCTACAGAAAGAGCAAGAATCTGTCTACAATCCTTCTTACCTCAAGTATCTACTTCTTTACCAACAAAACTCAAGCTTTGGACACTGCTACGTATTAAGAAAGATGACTTATTAAAACTGTTAATCTACACAAGAAAAATAAAGTCGTGCCCAGAAAAACTTCCATAAATTTTGGATGAAACTCAGATCAGTAAAAATAATGGAAAAACCCAGAATCCTCTGCTCTGCTCTTTTTGGCTTGGATAGTTAGTTTTCTTCACAGTTGTTGGTATTACACCATGACATCTGCTGTTGCCAGCATTAAAAAGTTTGAATTCTGCTATCAAGATACTGCTATCAGATGGAACAAATAAGCAGGGCATAGCCCAAAGAAACAAATTTTTCTATTTTTATCTCTGAAACTTGTAGAAGTTCAAAATTTAATGTATATATGTACATGAATTAAAGAATAAAGAATACTTTAAATGCATATTTCTATATACACTATGCTAAAATATATATACTCCTTTTCACACAGACTCTTAACACACACCCATGTTATGCTTCACTATTTTCTCAATATAGCATAAGTTTAATAGGATTCCCCTTATGCATTCAAACCTCTCTTCCGGTTCCAGTCATGGGCATCACCAAGCTGAGCAGCATTATATGTGTATCCATGCTGCTGACGGAAATAATCATCGGTGCTGAGTACAATGCCATCACAACTCTGACCAAGCAGAATGCTGTTAAACAAAGGAAAACACAAAAGATAGACATATATATATATAAAATATATATATAAACTTTAAATTTTCATATAGATTAAAAGAAGACACATAAAAACGAAAATAGCTAAAATAGATTAAACTGTGTCCTACTTCTGAACCTCTTGCAAACTTCAAACAGATTTATAAAAGTACACTCATGTATTACCAATAATTCTAATCCAAATTAAAGCAATATATTTTCCCCTTCTCTACTACTTCTGTAGCTGGTGTTTCTTCTCCACCCCCAAGAGGTTTTCTGATTAGATCTATCTAATTTATAGCTTTACTGCTGTAAGTTCTAAGTACCTCATAATAACTGAAAATATTTACTAACATTTTCCATCTCAATTCTCACTTGGAAGTATGTCTAGAAACCAATCTGAACATGAAGCCTCCAGATGCAGTTGAAAAATGAACTGGATGTTTAAATCCTTTTTCAAGACCTTAAACCCTTCTGACCCTTGTCTATGCTGCTTGCACATAGGATGTGGGTAGAACAAGAACAGAAAGATAAAACTACTAACGTTTACAGCTATTTTCCTGTTTTCAGGAAAACATAGAAGATCAAAATTAATTTCAAGACCATCCTAGTAAGTCAAGATTACAGAAGAGTGTCCATATTCCTTCAAGATCCTATATCCTATTCCAGTTCTGAGTCCTCTCATCTAATCCTGACAACATAGTCTTATTTGTTCCTATTTTCTCATCAACTCTGGCACTCACTGCAACATTAATCCACTGGAATTCACAAGACAGAAGAAAGCAATACTTTCCCCCCACCGACACATCCTCCCAACCCCAGGTTACTTTTCTGAAGCTTTAGCAGTTGAGACTATTTTAGAAAAGGCACCAAAAGGTGATACACCAGAAATTAATAACTACCAATGGAGATGTCCCCTGGCTGAGCAGCAGTAAGCTGCTGCATGGGTTACCTCGTCTGGTAACTGCAGTTTCAGTCTCATAGATGACAAGAAATTTAAGACAGAAACGGAGATATGAAAAACTCCTATCAGGGAATTATACTGCTTTTCTCTATCACTCACAGGGTTAACAGGGTGATAGGAAAGCCGTGCATTTTACTATCCCTGCATGAATTAATTCCATTCAGGAGAAAAACTACTTGATTAGTGTTTTAGATTGTTTTCCTTAAGGCAATGCCATTCCATGTGACTTCTGAACATAGAGACCAATTTTGCAAAATCTGATAATCTTGCACAAGACTTCGGGGGGGGGAGGGACAAACCAAAACAAATTTGTAAACAAAAGGATCAAATGCAGAGATTCAAATTAGAATTCATAAAAATAAAAATGTGAAAGACTGCAAAGCAAATTTCACATTTACCCAGTCTTCAGGCCTGACATTTCCAAGCATCATAGATATTTCACTGGCTAGTTTACTTCATTTGTGGGTTGGGTAAGTTACACTACATTCTGCTTCTTGCACAGCTAACATTAAAGATTACAGGAGAAATTTAAGTATACTTTATCAAACAATAAAAGACACGGTGGGGAAGTCAATGAGGGTAAAAAAGGGAAATTCAGGGGGACACAGTTGCAATATCCACTGTTTACATGTTTATTTTTACTCTGTATTGTGAAATTTGCATTCCTGATATTTATTTATTACAGAAGCTATTGCAATGGTTGATGTAGGAATACTAGAAAAAAATCCATAAAGCTTTTCAAGAATTCTGCATTTGCAGTGTCATCAAATGCCACAGTCAAACCTTCTAAAAGCATCATAAAGCTGATTTTTGGATTTAACTAAAGTTCATCCTAAACACTGCCAGGCATGCCAGCGAATACCTGCGAGTCATGAAAAAATGATTATAGTAAAGTTACAGGAAATAATTAACTGCTGCTTGATCAATAACATCAGAACCTGTCAAATGCGCAATCCCCATTCTGCCAACTGTAAACTTCATTTCAGAAAGTCCTTGGAAATTGGTGTTTAAAGGAAAACATCATATAACTGATACAACAGTACAGTTCTCTTAAAGTCTGACCTATAGGAAAAGTGTAATTAAAAAACATCCTTGACTATTTCAATCTGAAAATAGAAAACAGCCAGTTAGTATCACAGAGCATTTGTAGCCCACTGCAACACTCAGATATCACTGTCCTATGGAAATTCAAGCAACTATTCAATCTCAGAAGTAGACAATGTACTCACAGCCTACTAAAACCAAACTGCCCTAGCAATATGTGGGATTGCACTACTGCTGAGATGGTAAGAACAGAAAAGAACTGGTCAGATCCCAAACATCCCATATATATGTCAGTTCTAAGTTACCATGCTTTCCTATATATCTGTGCAGCAAGAGCTACTTCAGTGTCAGTCTGACACAAGGAATTTGCTATGTTTTGCCACCTGTCACCAACAACAGATCTATTATGAATCACAATATAACAACTGGGATGCTGTATTAAATATTAGCTTACATCCCTACATGTTTATTGTCCCACAAATATGCTGTTGGTTATTTTTGCTTTTAAGATACAGAGATATGTACAACAAAATTCAGATTACTAAGGACCAGAAGAAACTACTAATGGCGCACTGTCAAGTAACATGATCAAAATTTCACACAAACCCTTTTTTCCTCCTTGTTCTTTCTCCCTTTTCCAAAGTATTAAGATTATTCACCACAAACAGCAACCCTAACTGAGAAAGTAGAGCATGACACACCAAAGTACAGACACTCTTTTGAACAGTGATCAATTAATTATTTTTGGTTAGAGCCTAGATCTTTTAATGAATGTGTATTACATTGATTTAGAAGAGTGCAGAAGGATTCATCACCTGTTTTTGGTCCAAGTAGAACAAATGGCACCAGTAAATCATACACCACACACACCAGCAATTTTTGTATCTTTTCCACTTTAATATAAAACAGTTAACAGGAATTTATATTCATTAAGTTACATGGCCATGATTTCACACTTGGCCTGATTTCCCTATTTCCAGTATGCTACATTTACCAATGCTAGAAAAACTGGATCCATCTTCCACACTTGCTTTTTGTGTGTTGACTGAATATACACACATCTCATAGAACCATCTGCCTTAATTAAAAAAAAAGACAGCAAATAACACCTGGGATTCTTCTACTAGCTGAGGAGATGAACACATCCCTACAGCTCCTACAGGCCTGACCATTCAGTTTCTACAGGAGCATATATGAACTCATGAATCAACAGTAATGGGAGATTAATTTTCATTTTTATTCCTAAGAACTGACTCTGTTTGCTCTGTGTTCTGGAGAATAACTCATCTACTCAAATTCTTTTGTTGTACATTCCAAGCACCATTAGTACCAATAAAGAGATACAATGACAAGGGTTTAAGAAATCTTGCAAACTCATCAATAAAGTTTATTCTTGAACTATTTTGTTAGTACTCCTTGAAGTTCAGAATACACCAAATTATTAATGAACCTGTATAACTGATATAACAGATTTAATGCAGTAAACTATGTTTGCAATAACCCTAAAACCAGAGAATTTGACAAAGCAAAGTGACTACCAAACAGGCCAGAGTAATAGAAACCATATACTATACTCAACACACAAGCTACCATTACTTATTAAAGTAATAAGTTTATGAACTAAAATTTCAATTATTACAGTAATGAATGTAACCTGTTTCTGAAGTGTGAAACTAAATCGTAAACCAAAACACTTTCAAAGCCTGACAGTTACCTCTTTCAGAATTCATAGCGTTTAAACTTGTAAAATTCAAAACACAAACCTACTTGTTGACATCATATGGAATAACTCACATATTTCTAACACATATTTGGAAGTACAATTCATCCCAGGCTCACGAACTAGCAAACAGAAAGAACAAAAAGCATATCTATACAAAGAAAGCATCATTACTATTTAAACCCACAAAGATATGATATTCCACTTCTGAGAGATGGAGGAAGAAAAAAAGAGAAATGTATTTCTAATGAGAGTCAAATTACAGATTAGTAAGCATCAACATGTGCACATGCCTGAAATGAATAGGATATTATCCAACTGCTGTAATTCAGCTTTTTTACCCTAAACCTTCACTGCAACTGAACACTCACTTTTGACCAGAGTAGGCTACTGAAATTAAAACAGCTATTAGAATTTAAAGTAGCTCACCTACTTCTTCCAGACATGCTATCTGATCTGATAGAAGCTATTAGCCTGACATACCAAACCCATGCTGAAACTAAAAAGTTTATTTTAATTGGTCAGCAAACCAATACACATTTTCCAGTGCATGTGTGTGCATGCATGCACACACACAAATCCTGCTTTAATTTTTCTTCCAAACTAAAATAGTCCCCAAATCTACATCCTGGTTAGCCTACTTTGACAGATGATTTTATAACAACGAAGTTATCTCAAGATCTAATAATTCACCTATTTAAAACAGCTAACATATCATGGTGAGGAAAAAAATAGGCAATAACTAAATACAGCTTAGGAATACTACAGATTTTGAAACTATGTAACTGCTACTTTAAAAGCATTGCTTGTAACACTGTTTATAAAAATATATAATTAGAAACAACAGCACATTACTGTGTCAGCTATAAATACTGACACTTTTAACTCTTTCCTTCAGATGATTTTGCTCTCAGGAAGAATGGCCCTAGATAAAGAAAACTATATTTATATATTCATGGATTTAATTAAAAATGCGCTTCTTAAACTACATCGATATTTTTTCTTTTTACTTCATTACACTCCTTTTTATGCAAATGAACGCTTAGATATTTATGAAGGAATGGTAAATTGCAATTGTTGCCAAGTTGAGTAGCAAAATATTCTAAAAATACAAGTCTCTTTTCCTGTAACTTTTCCCAGCATTGTAAGATCCCATCATCATCTACTTCTAATGGTAGTACGCTTTTGTTACTTGAGCTAAAGATACTGCTGTTGGGTATCTGTCAGGCCAAACTATTTTCAAAAGTTTCTAACTAAATGGTCAGTCATTTCCAAAACCAAGGAAGAAATACAGCATTTTTATCATGTCTTCATCAGCTTTTCTCTGAGAAGTTTGGATTGACAAAGTGGAATCTGACAAAGTACATGCGTTTGTCCAGCAAAACCTTTTTGTAAATCCACCCAATGTAAACAACTTTCAAATGTCAGGTGCACAGAAAATTTCTGTACAGAAAATACAAAGATTCTCACTGCAGTAAACCCAACTTGGCAGTGGCAGGAAGTTGATTCAGGACTTGTACTACATTGCGAGAACACATTTCTCCCAACCCGAGAAGGAACAGAAGGAACAAAATTGGCCTAAAATAGGAGGACATGGGAAGGATGGTGGTATAAACACTGGAACAAGCAACTCAGTACTGGCAGCAGAGCTAGGAAATAGTGACAAGGCAAAGAGGGAAGCACAGAGAAGACATTGTTATAATGCATCCGGGGGTGAAATAATACCACTAGCTGAAATGGACAAAATTAATCTAGGATGGAGAAGGAACTGAGAAATCAGCTTAGAATTTAGAAGCAGATGTGGCACTAGTAAGCACAGACCAAAAGTTATGGTTGGATACGAACAGCAAAACAAAACTGGAAACAGGTAGTCAAGAAACAGGAATCTGAAGGAGCTTCAGAAGGCTAGGATTGTCTAGGTCAGGTGAACATGGGAAATACATCAGTGAGATGAGGGGAGTTCCCTGATGACCCAGAAGTCACTGATGTTACGCTCATATTTAGGGCAAGTAAAGACAAAGACCCAAGGAACTAACAGCTACTCAACCTCACCCAACCTCTGATCTGGAAGGACAATGGAGTGCATCCTCTTGAAATCCATTTCCAAACATGTTAAGGAAATGAAGGTAACCAGGAAGAGTTCATATGGGTTTTGCAACAGACAAATCAGATTTTTTTCTTTACTCACCAGACGATGAAGCAATACCTTTATCCATGAGGATGAATGCAGCATACCCAGAAATCATCAGTGCTTCCAACATCATCTCCCTGTCACTAACCGAGTATAGAAGTGCGTGGTAGCGAGACCAGTGATGAGGCAGAGAACTTGCAGATGACTCCAAATTAGCAGGGATGCTGAACATACTGATCAGCAAGGCTTCTCTCCAGAAGGTCACAGAGAAACTTGAGAACTGGGCTAAGCAAAACATCACTAAACTCAACAAGGGAAAAAGAGAAGTTCTGCAACTGATGAAAAAGAAACCTAAGTACCAGCATAGGAGGGAAAGTGGTTGAGCAGCCCTGGTAAAAAGGATCTGAGGATTACAATGAACATCAAACTGAAGATAAGCAAATGGTGTGCTCTCGTCAAAAGAGGAGCAAACCCCAATCTGGGCTTTAGTAAAGAAAATGTGATCAGTAGATCATCTGAGAAGAAATCACCCACACTCTACCTGATCTTGTGCAGTCAGTTCTGAAATACTGTGTCCAGGGTGAGGCTTCCCAGTTCAAAGGACATTCTGAAACACATGAAAGGGCTAAACAGATGGCTCCCAATATGGCTAAGGGCATATAACCCACAAGGAGAGGTTAAGAGCAGCTGGACTTTTTTTAGTCTGGTAGTGGAGGCAGCAAAAGGCCTGATATCAGCCTATTTCATATCAGCCTATTACAGTGAATAAACCTATCCCTTACCAGAAAGGAAGCTGCAAAGATGATGAACCAGATTCTACCACAGAACAGCACGTTATAACACAGAACACATGCAAATTATGGTTTGGGAATTTCAGGTGGGAGATTACGAAGAACTTCCTTAGTAGGAGGTTTGTACTGCACTAGAAAGTTTGGCAAGATCATAGAATCTCTGTGTGTTTTTCAAGATCAGGCCTGACAAAGACAGACCTGCTCCAAGTAGAACGATGGACTAGCTGATCTCCACTAGCCTCATGCCTATGATTCCAACTGCTTATTTAGAATGGAAGAGTCAAAACAAAACACAGACCTTAGTGGAAGATTCAAGACATGCATGGCTGAAGTTTGTGAGCAGGATGACAAGCGTCTGTACTTAAAACACACTTACTTTGCACAAAACACAAACAGAAATTTAAGATTCCTAGGTCTAACTACTGGCCCTGCTGTCATTTCATACTTGGGAAATCCACTTGCAAGATGCACCTCATTCCCCTCTAGTGCTGATCCACATAGATGATTGTCAACTTTCTGCTTCTCCTTAACAGTCATGTTAAGGAAAAGGGTATGGGTTTGTCTGCAGGTACTAAAGATGCCACACTTGCAAAGATACCTGTGGATACTATGACATCAGATGATATAGTCCTAGTCTACACTGAAAAATTTTATGATGTTACACAGAAAAACATGTTCAACTTTATTAAGAATAAGACTTAACTTATAATTCAAGTATTTTCCCCATCGGCAGCCATTAATTCTGGGACTTTTTTCCCCCAAGGTATCCAAGACCCTGAGACATGATTTCACGGGAATTAGCAATTACAACCATTGAACATATGAAACTGCATGTAATTGAATACACTGAAAAACAAGTTCCACACAGTTCAAATTCTGCACTCACATTTGGTAACTATTCTTGACCTTGATTTCATAGTACCCACTTTCCCATCTGTTAAATAAAACTGGTAATTGATCTCACTAGTGAGAGATTAAAGAAACCACAAATATGTGTTCATAAAAATCTCAAGATACTTAAAATTTTTCAGAAAACATGAGTCATATATTTGGAAAAAGATTCTGAGACAAATTAGCACACCAAACATGGAAAAGAAAATATCTAGTATCTTTACATTAAGTATTATCCAATTCCTTCATTGAATGAGGCAGCATCTTTTCCACAGAGTTTTTTTAAAATTTTTTATGTTGCTTTCATATAATAAAGGAATTACTGCAATAATGGCACGTGCAGGTTTGCAAAACACAGTAACCAGTAACTATAAAATATTATAACTAAAATTACTCAAACATGTAGAAAAGATATCTGTTAGAGACTTCTAGCTATGATACGGAGATTACGCTGTTTTAAATATCAGGAAAAAGCCTACAAACAGAATGTTACTCCTTTATACAAAAAACAAGTAAGAACATGATCTATTTCAGACTCCTAGCATACAACAGAAGGAAACCAGAGAAGACATCCCATTTCTGATGTAGTTTATGGATGAAACTCAACCAGTAAATACTGATTTAGTAATTTGGTTTTTTACACAAGAAATTAATACTGGTAGTATCTGTGCTCTATCTATGTCAATTTTTGTGCTTTTTAAATCAGGCCAAAAAACCCCAAAGTGAGAATCCAAGTTGGAGATGGCACCTGCTTTTAACCCTGCCAGACATCAACAAGTATATTTTTAAGAAAAAAATAATATTTTTCTTGTGTGTTCACAAATAAACAGAGCAGTTGACAGACCATACTATGAAAAAAAAGGGAATGAGATTATGATCAGTTTCACCAACACACTGAAAACAAGTATCAGAGTAGCACAGTTCTTCAAACGAAAATTTTTCCGTCGGAATAAAATTGTACTTCTGGTTCAATCAAACTGATGCAGTTAAGATTTGATGGAAGATTATTTTAAATGAAGGAATTTAAGAATTTAAAAAAAAAAAAAAAAGGCAGGCCATCACACACTACTGTTCCTGAAAACTTCAGAATAAACGATTATGCAATTTAATGAATACACAACATTTTAAATTTAACACAAAGCAGTTCCTGTTCATCATACTCTAAAGGAGACAAAATCCCCAAGTAAATACTTTTAATATTTACTGTCATTTGCAGTCATTAAGTATGAATGACAGCAGATAATAAATTACTGCATTTTAGTAGCCTAATTTACAAACTAAAAAGTTTGCTAAGTGCTTACAGATATTTCTAAATTCTTAAAAATTTTTATTTGAATAAACTTTTCAAGCTTTAAGTCTTTACTTACCGAGAAAGTGTAGATTTCCCTGAACCAGGTAAGCCTCTTAAGATTAGAAGAAATTTTTGTGCACAACCAAATCTTTCTTCAGATAACTGCAAGGAAGAAAAGCTGTGCATTCCTTCTGTATTGTCAGCTTTTGGATCCTTCCAACACTCTTCCGTGGTTTCACAGAAACCATTATTTTGGAGTCCCTTCTGGTCATTATTTTCATTTCTGAAGACCTGAGTAGTATGGATGTCACTATGACTAGCATAGCTGGTATCTGGATCAAGCAATGCACCATGATTGCTGATATCAGTATTTCTATGACGATTTTCATAAGAAAGTTCCCCATTCTGAAAAGGGAGAGCATTTGGGATTTGTGGTGGGGACGTAAGTGTCTGAAAACGGGACTGAGGGTTGAATCTAGGAAGAAGAGGTCCCTGAGGTACTGTGAAAGATGCTCTAGTCTGCCAAGCAGGTCTGAATTCAGGCACTGAGCAGTTCCAATACTTAGCATCTACTTGGCCATTAGAGGTATTTTCAGTTTTCCAGCCATCTGTTTCCACAACAAACTGCTGCTCATTGCTTGTTTTCTGACTGTTCTGTTCACCAAGAAAACTCTGTCCATTTTCATACGATGGCTGTGGGCTGTCCAACAATACGTGTTGACAATCCTCTTGTGAGCTTTGACTGCAGTTACATGGAGACTGTTGATCCTGAGAAATTTCAGTTTCTTTTTCCTGAGGATTAGTATCTAAATTTTCACTTTCCAGCTGGTGAATTTCTTTATAGAACTGGTCGAGTTCATCATCTATTTCTGGAACAGTAGTAGAAATAGCCTGCACCTTCTTAGCCTCCTTTCTTTTAGGTCTGTTTTCATTTAATTCATTCTCATCTCCCCCACTGCTTCTACATTCATTGGAACTGCGAGATTCATTCTGTTTGTTACTTTTGGCAGGTTTGTAAATAGGTCCTATAAATTCTTTGCTTGTAAAAAAATCTTCATCTGATGCATTTCTATTTATTGATAATGATGTACTACTTTTTTTAGTATTATCTTCACCGGCATTATTTGTAATAAAAGGGTCTTTCTCTTCTTGAACTTTAGAGTCATTTATTGATGCAAACGGAGGATTTACATTCTGCACAGTTTCTAAATCAACTGGCTGACTAAGCACTGGATTATTTTCTGGGAGAACTTCATTCGATGATCCCAAGACACCAGTCAGCATTTTCTCTTGCTTCTGCATTTCATGTTGCCCTTGATTATCTGAGGCATATGCTGGTACCCAATCACTTGATGTTCTCTCAGCATCCACCTCCTCCTGAATACCTTGGTTTTCATCATGGGGAGTTTCTCATAAGTCCCTTCTGCTGACTTCATTCTTTTAGAATATCGTTCAGTTTTTATTTCGTCGTGACACTCCGAGAGCCTTACTCTATTTTCAGCATGAAGCATCTTAGAAAACAATGAATACATTATCAGCATGCATATTTTTAAGGTAAAGTATAAAAAAGCAGAACTTATTCAGGTCTATGACATCAGACCCTCAGACTCTCCACAGTCACAACTAAAATGTTCTCACCCAAGAGAAAAGCAGACATCACCTACCACAAGTGTGGTGTAAACAAGACGGCCACATTGTTTGCTGCTCATAGTAAAAAACTACAATAGTGCTGCATCAGTCCAGCAGCAATTTTACAATACACCTTAAATAGTTAACAAATCATGATTTTAAAATGTGAACACCTGAAAAACTAATTACATCAACAATCTCTGTTCTCTACTGACCTGTTACTCTGCCAAGTGTCAGGAACCTCTTTTACAGAATAAACATAGGCCAATTTCCAATGCACAAACTGATGCCTGACATCACTACTAATATGACCAACAAAAAAACACTTCAATCACGAGGATTGTTTTCTATGACACGAACCAAACTCAACTAATTCATTTAACATCAACTGAACAGATGCTGGACTGGATTTGTAATTTAGGACTAGTCAAACACGACTTTAAATCATATCTGCAATCTGTTATGATGTTTCTTGTTTTGGAACTAAAGACTTCTGTTAGGGACCAAGACCACTTGGTTACATGCTTTCTAAAAATAAACACACACAAAAAAAGAAACCTTGTCATAAACAGATTGCATTCTAAGAATAAAGCAGTAAGTTCCAGAAAGATTCAGAGATGAGCAATCACAAGCAAAGCAAGATGGCACTGACCCCTGTGACATGCAGTCATGCCATTATCCATCTAATTATTAGTCAGAATTTCTTGGATTTTGCTTTGTATTCCAGAAGTCTAGACAGTATGCAATTAAGAGCAATAATAATATTATAAATCAAGTGCCAGGTAGTTTATTCAGCAAATCCCGGCCCCCCAAAAAACGGGGGATCAAACAAGAAAGGATGTGTTTCCCCTATTAGAGAATTTATTCTACTGTTTTCTGTGAACAGTTCAACTTTCTGGGAGTAAGTATTAACAAAATGTCACATACTCTTCATCCTGGACTAGAAAATATTTTTTTTTCTTTTTTGAAAAAGATCTGTAGTAAGTATTAAGGGAAAATTTGTAAGTAACATGTTCACTTGCAAAACTGACAACAAAACGCGTTACTCTAGGAATTTTCTCACCTACTATCCCAAAGGGAGAGAAACCTGCCATTCTCATTCTCTAAATGCCTAAACCAAGGAGATTTTTACTGTCTGAGATTTTACTGACTTTACTACCTGGAATAGAGCACAGGAAGAAACTATTCCTCTTCCTCAGAATTGGCGGAAGGAACGCTGTTGGCACAATGGTCTCTCCTCCTCTCAAGACATATGTGTTTTAAGCATACCTCCAGTTTTTCAGTTCCTCCTTTCTGTGAATTAGAAAGTAAGTATGATATTATGTGAATAACTGACTCTATTCCCCATCTATCAAAAAAAATGTTAACTCTGCCTCCACTTAAAAACAGGATTGGAGGGGAAAAAAAGCTGCTTTATTAGCTCCTGTGTCCTCATCCTCCTCTGGGATGGTGTTTACGCAGAGCCAATTTTCTGATGTGGAACGAAAACAGAGAACATGTGAACACTTGCTGCACGACTATCTCCAGTGACGGAGGATACTGCTCTGTGACTGTCCCTCACAGGAATATCTTTTCTTGCTCATCTCTCACAGACTTTCCTTGACTATCCTTTGGGACAGTGAAGCTGCATACAAAAGCATATCCATCTGCACTCTTGGGGAGGACACAGCAAGCACGGAGTGAGAAAATGCAGCCTCTGTCTTGCCTCTCGAAGGGGACAGGCACAGGTCTGTATTATTTCTGTAAAGAACTGTAAAAAAATGTTGCAAGCATGGAAGCCGAGCCGACAGAGAGGATTCACCACGCTGCCACTTGCCACACTCAATCACCACTTTAACTGACCTGGCAAACATCCACAAGGCTCAACCAACAAACTCAAGGCCCTGAGCTCCACCTGCACGCCACATTCTCAGTGGAAAAAGGAGGCTTATGTGGCAGAACCTACAGACGGGGGAATTTACAGACTGTGCTTGCGTGACCCCTCTGTGTGTACGATGGTGAAAACGCGCGTAGGCCTCGCACGGCGCCAGCACACACCTGGAGCTGCGGGAAGCGGGCGCTGCTCCCACGCCGGGCTGGGAGCGGAGTGACCGAGGTGAAGATGCAGCCGCCAAGAGCCGCCCACTCCCCACAGTGTAAAGTGTACCCCCCACCACCCCCACTTCCCTCATCCCGGTGCCTGTGTCCCGCAACCTCAGCAGCCGCCGGCCCCGCGCTTACACCGCCATCCCCACACCGCCCCTTCCCCGCCCCGCCCCCTCGGCCCCACGTCGGTGGCAGCAGCAGCGGTGGCGGCGGCGGAGGTCGGGAGAGAAGCGGCCTGCCGGCCCCGCCGGGCAGCAGCCGCCGCAGCCACCGGCGGGCGAGGAACCAACCTGCAGGCAGCGGCTCCGGCGGTGCCCGGCCGTGCTGGGGGGCCGCGCCGACAACACCCGCTCACAAAATGGCGCCGCCTCCCGCTGCCCCTTCACCCCGCGCGCGGCGCCGTGAGGGGCGGGGCCTTCCCCCACACGCCCCGCCCCCGCCCCGGCGGGAAGTGCCCTGAGGAGAGGGAGGGAGGTGAGGAGTGGTGCGGGTCGTCCTGCCTCTGAGGGGTTTGTTCTGCTTTAAGTGGTATTCTGGTTTCCGTGAGAGAACAGCAGCGATTTTAGCGAGATTATAAAGTTCCGATGAGCATTGTCCCCGGCGTAAAAGCTGCCCAAGTTTCCTAGACGTGTGCTGTAATAAACATGGATTTCCAGGTTTTCCCTGCTGCATAAATAGAGTGTATATTTTGCCATTATGTGGCTGCATTTTTATTTTTTTTTTCAACTCGTGGTGTTATGGAAGGCAAGCCGCATTTTTCCTAAAAAACATTGTTCTTAAGAAATAGTCTTGTAATGGTAATTGCCCGGTGTTCATTAGTGCACACAACAGCTCCTGTAAGTGATGTCCCCGTTCTAAATACCTGCAGTGCTTATTCTTTCACATCGCCTGAATGAATTATGAATGTTTGAAAGTACGTAATTTATGAAGTCTCTGAATTTTTTTGCTGTAAGTGGTAAGAAGAAAACTGGTTGTTAAAATCTATGACAGGCATTCCTTCCCATTATCCCTAGAACCAAAACATCCTTTTCCCGTGTGATGGCCTTGTTTTTTGGAAGGCATGTGTGGAAGTATGTATCCTAGATAGCATTTTAATTTAGATCAGAAGTGACCTCTTGAAGTGAATCTCCTGGTTCTCTCCATTTGCCATGCTTTGTGAAGATTAGAGCTCTTCCAACTTAAAAACTCCTGAGATGTGTATTGTGTGAATGCCACAGTCAGGTACTTTTCCATATTGATTTGCATTTAGCAGCACTGCCCCAGTTATGCAGACATGCAGCCAGAGCTGGGAAACCTGTGTGCAGTTGCTAAGGAATAAGGGTGGCATAACCTTGTCCCTCCGTTCCAGGCTGGAAGAACAATATGTGTATTCTCCTGGAAGATGGGAGCAGTCCTATGTTTAGACATGGCCTTGCTGTGGCTTCGGGGCCTATATTTTGTACCATATTGTGGAATCCACAGTCAAAGAGACAAATTTTAATACCATTTTGAAGTACAGAAGAATTCAGAAAGAACTGGTCATTTCTGCTGTAAGGTGTCCTTTCAGGGAGGAAAATAGGAAATATCATAAAGAACTGACCTTTGCTATCAAGAAAGATGTAAATAACACAAGATATGCAAAAGAGAACATAAATACAGGTTGCTGGAAGTATAATGCAAGTATTTTGCAAATACAAAAGGCTACACTGCTTTTTTCTTTTACTCTTTTTCGTGAGATTATCTAAAGATAAGGAGGCTAGTTCTTAATTTTAATATTAAAAATATTTCACAACCAAGATTTTTGACTTCTTGGAGAATTCTTTTCTAATAGTAATACTATCAGTTATTTAATCCTGAAGAAAAAACTATTTCCCATCTGAAATACTAATAATGTGCTTCCCTACGCAAGCTAAATCACGAAATACCCAAGTTAACCATTTAGAGAGAATAAGTCTACTGCACATGGACCTTTTGAAAGTAGTATCTGGAGATCAGAGCTCTCAAGTGCTTCATGTTGTGTATGTAGTAATTGTCTCAGATGTATTTCATTGGGGGAATTCTCCCAGTTCTTGTGTACCTAATTAAATAAGCCACATGTTACAACTGGCAGTACCCTAATGTCATTTTTTCAACCTCATTGAGCATAATAAAATATACTTTATCTGGTCATGCTATTACAGCTGCTACAGATCCCATATGGGAAGATGTTACACTTACTTGAGACAAGGCTACAAATAGTTCCCCCAGAATCCACCTGCTGCACTAGATAGTAAAAGAAGTTCCATTGGAAATATCATCAGGAGAATCAGATAGGGTATGTCCAAGTATGGTCCAAGGGGTCAAACATTCTAACAGTGAAAATATTTACAAAGAAGCCTTAACAGATTGTGGGTTTTCTTTGCTTGCAGAGGAGTCTGACTTTTTTAACTTCATTTTCTTCATATGTTTATAACTCTACTCAGAATTCTACCGTGTACCTCTACTATATGTCACCCTAATCATGCTTCCTGTAATGTGCATCTATTATTTTGGTAGAACCTTTGCATAGACGTAAAATATAAGAGTGTAGTAGTGTTATTACATGGGTAGCAAATTATGAAAAATTATGCCTTTTTGTGTTCCTTGACATTTATGCCATCACCTTCATATTAGCTCATGAAATATTGGCTTTAACTGATCTAAGAGAAGAGTTAAAGGAAAAATTTCCACCTTAAATAGTCAGACTTTGACTATTCAGTTTTCCAAGTGTCTTGTTAGTTTAAGTTGATTTGAACCTTACAGATTGCATCATAATTTGTATGCATAAGGGAAGTCAATAATGTTCTATGAAAAAAATTAATTTTGACGCTATGTAACTTGAGTGTTTGAACTTGCAAGTGGAGCATTTTCTCACAGTAGCTTTTGCATTTGATTTCCTAAATAAAAGAGGGATGATGGCAGCTGTCCATTTTGGAGGATTGTCCTGATTCCTTTCTGGTTTACTAATGTGACCTGTCCCACCATGTTGCTCTACCCAGCGCCTCCTTGCAATTGTTGTACTCACAGCGGGTTTGTTTCTACCCACTGTGACTGCCAGTCTCTTCCTCACGACTACTGTTCCTTTCCAATATGATCTCGCTTCTTGTCTGGATCCCGTTGTTCCTTTACATTCCATAGTCCTGTATCACTTCCTACTACTAATGCTGTTCTTCTTCCCCTTCCTTTCCTTTCCATTTGGTTCAGGGTGTTTTCTTCCTTCTGGTTTCCATCACTTTCTTCTTTCCTGCAAAAGACTGATGTGCTGCCTTTATCTTCTCCTGCAAAATCTGGAACACAGCAGCACAGTGGCATCCATTTCCTCAGGGAAAACTCCCAAGGATACATACATTCTCTTCAGGGAATGGCAGCTGTTATGGCAGCAGGAAGAGGACTATTCTTCAGATTTCTCAGCAGCACTGTGTATTTTTAATAAAAGCATCATGCTATTCTTTTCTGTGTGGAAAGGTTTTCCTTAAATATGCATATGGACAAATTTTAGATAAAACTTTCCAAAATAACTCAGTGTAAAGAAGGTAACTGTCATGAAAAGTTAACCCAAAAATTAAATATTTGCTAGCAAAGCAATAAATGCCTGTGTTCTGCCTTTTAATAGAAAAGACTAGGCAAAATTTAATATAGAAATGAGGAGAGTCCATCTGTAATAACAAGGAAAGAAAATAAATATCCAGTGGGAACTACTTGAGATTGGCTTGAATATTAAGGGTTAATGTGGAATGATAGTTCAATCATTTAGATCTTGTGCCTGAATCTTGTTATCAGTTTTGGCATAACAGAGGACTCTTTCTTCTTCTCATAAAACGGTTCTTCCAATAACACTTTAATAAAGTTTTACTTTAAATGTATTGGAGTTCAAGAGAACTAGTTACAGACTCAGATTTAATCATGCCTCTCTGTAAAGGGTAATGACCTTGGGTGGTAATTTGTCTTGTCACTCTACTAAATTATGTTTGGAAAAGTGAGGCTTCAAGATGATTTAAGAAATACTGTTGCATAATTCCTTCAATTTAAACCAAGCTACATCTAGAGAGAAATTCTGGAGAACTTTATGAGAACTGGTATACTCAATAAAGTAGGAATGTTGCTTGCCAAATTATTTTTATGAAACTTTTACATGGCAAAGAGGAACACTGATCACATCAAAGTTTCAGAGTAACAGTAACAGTTTTTTACTTATTAATTGCCACTGATAATGTGGTGGGGTTTATTTTCAAATTTCAACTTGAGAATTAACTTAGGAATTACAGTTTCATAAAGTTGCACCTTTCTACAAAAAACAAAAAAAATCCTGGTAGCCTGCTGGTTATGTGATATAGAAACATTTTTTAATATATGCAAGAAATTTTAGTAAGTGATGTTTAAGACATGGATAGATTAGATTTATTTTGACTATGATATAACTAATTTGCCATTTAAATATTGGTATTTGATTCCCTTCCAGTACTACATGAATCCTTTTGGAGACAAAAATAGGGAAAAAATAAAAGAAACACCTAATTACTTTATTTTGGAAGTTCTTGAAACCTTTCATTTGATGGTTTTTAGCTGAAATCTCCATGAAATGTAGATTTTTTTTTTCTTGACAATAAAGCACCTGTTCTCTGAGTTACATCATAGCAAAACAGAACTAAAAGAATGGTGAGATTTAACCTTTAAGATCGAGTGCTTTAGAAAAGGTAACAACTGCTGGCCCACGACAAAGCTGAGCTTATGGGTTGTGAAAGCCAACCAAGAAAACACAATTCTGAACAATTCATGTATTTCAAAGTAGAGCATGGGGAATTTCTAGGAAGCTGACACTCAAGGTGAAGGTCCAGCCACTGCTTAGTCTGCAAGACTCTCTAAATAGCATCTCAAATTTACATAAAAATGGAGGAGACTGAGTGTAATTCCTTCAGTAGACTGAAATTCAATGGGACATTAAAATAAGTAGCTTTAAATGGAGGGCACACAATGGAATGGTAAAAGCAGAAAGTGTGAGTAGAAGAAAGAAATGAAGCGTTGTGTGTAGTTCCTGAACACAGGAACAAAGTATATAGAGCAACTGAAAAATACTCAGCATTTTATGCCACACAGTATGTGTAAGTATTTAATGCTTAATATACTAATGTTTGAGTGAGAGGATGAAATATTACAAAAATTTAGTACAACCATGCTTAATTATGGCAGTGTTGACATCCCCACTGTGTCATGGAATACTTGTTAATTTTAACCACTCAGTTATTGCCTGAAAATACTTTTATTTGGTTACTAGAGGGTGAACGACTGAAATGCTCACTTTTCAAATACAACTTACAGTAAATTAATTTCTTTTTTTTTCTTTTTCCCATTTTGTCAAACTAACAGCATTGCTTAAAAATATTTAAGTTAT